TTTCATCCAAATCTAGTAGGCAAATTATTATAAATAATTTTGAGACTGCTACCTGAACATGCAGGATAGATTTTGCATCATTGTACACACCATCTATCCACCACTGTGGACTAAATATTTTCCTAGATATATATGTTTTCAAATTGAAGAAGAGCTTCTTGTGCTTTTGTTAACATCCAACATTCTAATCAGTAGGTTGGTGTATAGTAGATGCTTACTCTCGTTGACCAGAAGATGGTTCTATTGTTTAAATGCATATAAGGACCAAGGAACAAAGACCAAGTAGCAATTGTTGGCAACCAAATCTTCTCTGAATTTCTGACTTTACACCATTTCAGACTGAAGTTCACCAGGGAGCAAATATAAATGAACTCTCTGATTTTTTCAAAGATATAATTCTCAATCCTGAAGTCCTGTAAGAATGTACAGCCATAGTAATAGAATTTGCATCACTTATTTTGTTTGTACCTTATGTTGATAACGATGATTCTATTGAATGTATTTGTTTTTGTTTAATTATTTAGGTAACAAGAAAACTTAAACAATGTTTTTCAGTTCAATTTTAACTATTGCTGAGATAAAAGCTGTAATTACACCCAATTTCAAACAACTGTCCTTGTCAGAAAATATTAAAATTGTGACATTACATAAAGTTAAGGAATTTGCATGGAAAATGGAGAAGAGGATAGAGTACTACCAAATTTGGGATGCAATTGATGGATCATTGCTAACTGATAGGATACAAGTGTCATCGGCATAGGTGGTAATGACAGTATTTTACAAACAAAAAAATATATATATTTCTAATTTTTTTTATTTCACAGATTTTATGTGTTTTTTCATTAGGTTCTTTGCTTTTCAATAAATTACATTAATTTTTTGTTTACATAGCATTTGTTAAGAATTTGTGTTTATGTACCTTTTAGGAACAATAAAATTTTTACTGGGTGATGCAATTTTTAAGTCCAGGACTGAACTCCTTTTTCCTCATTTACCACAAGCCACATAGTGCTTGATTTGACAATTGCTGGCAAATTATATTAGTCAATTTAATTGTTGCTTTTTATAAAAAAGGATAAGCTGGCAAAATTATACAAACGTTGGCTAAGCTAAATAAATCAATCAACAAAAATAAAACAATTACCTGAATTTGGAAGTGAAACAAGTTCCTCTTGACATTTCTTAAGTGGTAAATAATCAAAAACCACAACTAATTTTGAAATATCACTTTCTTCTAATTGCAAGGATTTTGGAATAATGTCATCATAAAGATCTGAAAATAATTAATAATTAAGCATTTAACTAATTAATTACATCTACAAATTATCAACCACTGCAAATAATTTTCAAATATCACTTCCTTCTAATTGCAAGAATTTTGGAATTATGTCATAAAGATCTAGAAATAATAAGTAATTAAGCAATTAAATATATAATTACTTTGTACAGTTACTTCACTCACATAAAGTATGTTTACAAAATGACCACATTTTTCAATTAGGAGTTTCTTTACAAGTTTGTATTAATTCTCATATTTTATTGAGATTGCCATTTTAGGCAATCAGTTTTTACAACCTCTGTTCTGATTATTTGTGGCAATATGTTATAACGGAAATGTTTGAAACACTACTGAAAATAATATCCAGTATATTAGTAAGTAAACAATAAAACTTAATAAATAATAAAATTATTACTGAAATCAGCTATATGATTTATAATAGGATAAATCACTAGTTATTGTCACCTCAACAGGCATGGGCAGGCTTTCAATATTTTCTATTGAAATTAAATAACAATTGTAGTGAACAAAACAAAAAGAGTTCATTTATGTGGCAGTCAATGCACAATAAGGCAGTGTAAAAAGAGAGAGAGAGAGAGAGAGAGAGAGAGAGAGAGAGAGAGAGAGAGAGTCAGATGTTTTTAGGAGATTGAAGGGGACAGTGCCTGGAAAGGGTGAAGAGACCTACGTGTGTTGGAGGAAACATTAGCTCTCTTCTCTCTCATTCACTCTCTCTCTGTAACTGCTGGAAGAAGTGGACTTGTATGGATGAAGTCTTTGGTATTTTTGTACGTTATTCATATTTATATTAGTTAGTAAATTTTATATCAGCTTTAGGTTAGTCCGTAAGTTCTTGTTGTTTAGTTATAAATAGTTAAGTTTAGGTTACTCCTTAGATTAAGTTTTATTAATTATCTATAGTCTATTGTTTAGTTGGATATTTCATTGGGCTATTTATAGTCTGTTCGTCTAAATTGTATACATCAATAATAAATGTTTTGATTTTGATTATTTATTAATAAAACATATGTTAGGTTGATAAAGTGGATGGTTGTCTATTTAAGCTCGCGTATATGAACTTTAAGACAACCATTATTACACTAGTGACAGGTACAAGGGGTATTAGAACCTGTAAAACATAAAATAAATAAGAAAGTTAGGTTTAAATCAGGTTACCAGTGAAATTAAATTTAGGGGTTACCATGGAGGCCGAATGCAGTTAAAAGCTGAATTAAACGAGGTAAAAATAGAGATGGAAGCTCTAAAACAAAGTTCAATTAGTTTTCAAAGTCCATCGACTAAGGAAAACATATTAAAAGGAGTTAAAGGAGTTAGGCTTGCAAAACTTGATACAACCTTGGGGTGGGTTAAGTGATGATGATGATGTAAATACATTTTTAAGACATGTTGATCTGGTAGCTTCTACGAGGGGGTTGGACCGAACAGAAGAAAGTACTAATTTGTCGATCAAAATTAACCGGACCCGCGAAGGGGTGTGTTGCATCTTATCCAGAATTGTTAGAATCCACCGCTCGATTTGATCAGATAGCGACAATACTCTGCAAGCGTTTCGATTTTGTACACCCAAACAGTGACTATTCCAGTTAAATTCTGTAGAACAAATGCCTGGAGAAGGAGTGCATGAGTACGCCGATAGGTGCTGAAGCTTAGGAGAGCTAGCAACCCCAAAATTGTTATCAGTAGAAGAAGCCAGCTGGGTTAAGAGTCATTACGAAAATATCGTTACGGCTGCATTTTTAAAGGGTCTGCGACCAGATAATTGACAATTCCTGTTTGACCTTCCATCAACCTTTGAGGGGACCGTAAATAAGGCGGCAAGAATAGGTGAAGCGCTCGCGGATGACCCTCCGGCACAAGAGGTGTGAGCTATTCGACAGGAACCATCTTCTAACGACCGGTCAGATCAGAGAACACAAATTTACATATATGAAAAAAAAAAATGTTAGCGATGCCGTAAAACAGGCCACTTCGACAGAGAATGTCCAAGGCCAACCAATACACAATAGAAAAATTTTAATCGATCAAGTTGTTTTGTTTGCGGTTCTAAGGGCCACTTTGCCAGAGCCTGCCCGAGACGCTCTATCGCAGCTGTTTACACTAGCGAAGAGATTAAAAATTTCCCAAAAGCCACAGGCTCGATGTGTGCCCCGCCATCGTAAGCCCGACCAGAAACAAGGCCACTCACATTGTTCCTAACGTTTCCTCTTTATATTGCAGATAATTCACATTGAGGGGCAGCACCGCGAACTATTGGTGGACAGTGGTTCTGAAATTTCAATAATAAAAGAACCGATACAGGGCTATACTTTACATCTAACTCGAATAATTGCATCCGGCGTTACAGGTGCCCTGATAATAGTTCGTGGTGAGCAAGAGTTAGAGTGTCGAATTGACTCAACAGTGTTGTCTCAGCGGTTTGTAGTTACGGATGTTGTATCGAGAGCGGATGGTCCAATGGGATGGGACTTGATGAGAAAATTGGGACTTATTATTGATGCTGCTAAGGGGATTATAGTACAAACTAATAGAAATCAACAGCGGGACGTTGGAATAATTGCAAAAGAAAACCAACTGAAGGCAATTCGGGTCCGGCAATTTAGTGAAGTTCTCGTTAAGGGTCAATTGAAAGAACCATGCAATGGTGATATCTTACTGGAGCCAGTCATACAACCGCAACATGGTGTCAGAGTTGCGCATAGTATTAACAATGTTGATCGTAAAAGAGTCTGCGTGAAATTAATCAATCTGTCTGAGGAGGAAGTGGTGATACCCAAGGGGCAACACTTAGGTCTGGCCGAAGAGTTCGCTCCGATGGTGGTTTCAGAACCAAATGTATAGAAAAATTCAGTAGATTTGGTGCAGACTTTAGGTGTGACCACGGAAGGGACAAAAGATTTCATCAAAGAATGTCAAAATCGACTAGTGCATTTGACTTCAACTGAAGGAGAAAAAATTTTATAGAGGTCTTGAAAAAATATTTACGAGTGTTCGAACTTCCTGCAAAAGGAGGCTGCCAATTAGGGGGAAAATCACCGAAACCTAAAGACGGAAGGACCAGTCATAAAATGATCTTACCGCGTCCCTTATCACCAGAGACCCGTCATGGCAGACCACATTCAAGACATGTAAGAGAAAGATATCATACGACTTTCTGAAAGCCCATGGTCAGCATCAGTAGTACTTGTAAAAAAAGAAAGGAGATGGATCGCCTGCCCCGAAGTATAGGTTTTGTACCGACTTTCGCCGTCTGAACAAAATTACAAAAACAGATACGTACCCCCTTCCATTGATTTATGAGACGCTAGGGAGCATGGGACGAAGCCGATTCTTCACTACATTCATACTACCAATTTTTGAAAAGTGGAGTTACATGAAACTTCACTTTCATTCAATTCCAGCATGAGCTACCCAAACCCTCCGAACGGTGGGTAATAAAACGTCTCTTCTAATCAGGACATTTACTAGACATCAGTTTCTTTCAGGCGTTGCTACCTTCTCTTCACTCTCTGTTCACACTACATTCATTGATTTTCAAAATATAACAGATAGATTTTGATAAATCACAAAGTATTTTAACCCTGAACTAAAACTAAAATTTATACATGTTTTGGTGGATATGTGAGGCTCAGTTATTTTTAAATTATTATTTTATTTAAGTGTTTTACGAAACAGTTTGTCATATTTGGTTTCTTACTCTACTTCACAACTGATAAGGTAACAGAACTTCTGACCTGCCTTCCTCTTCAGAATCTGAATACCAGTTTGGGTTTTCATTAATGTCGTCGATCTTGTGTTCATCTTCACTTTCAGACGACTCTGCTGCGGATTCTATATTTTCATTAGATATCTCCATGTACTCTTGGTTGTCCATTCCGCTACTTGTAGGTTGGAAATCCAGTTCAAGCTCTGAAAATACAAGCCTCTGCGTATCTGGCTTATGATGTGCAGTTGGCATTGCCTCATTCTCTTTCTCTGAAGCCCGTTCAAGCCTATTTATCATTATAATGTCAAAGCTATCTTTCAGATAGGCTGAGACAGTATCAATTTACGATAGGCCTGCATAGATAGAAAAATTTGGTACATAACACCTTCTTCCCATGTTTTCTGCATAAATGACTACAATTAACTGCTTATAAGCTTTTAGTTTTCCTGTAAAGTGAGTATGAAATTGTGTTTTTCTCCCATATTTCAGTCATAAGAATTGATACATATTTAAAGGTGAAAAATTCAATGTTTCTCACCTGTGTGTGTTGTTAGGCAATTATGTTTATAAAAATAAATCCTGTATCACAGAAAAACAAGAAATAAAAGCTTTGCAATAGTTAATTGTAGTCATTTTTGCAGAAAAAATGGGTAATGTGACTGGATAGGAAATCACATAATTTCTTTACACAACTTAAAGTGAATCTCAAAATTTTTCCTAATAAACCTCAACTTAATTAATATGGACTTAAGCTTATTAAATGAGGAAGTTCTTCTAAAATAAGGGTAACTGTAATACAGTTGAAGTGTGATAAAAAAAAAATCACAAATAATTTATGACTTTAAACGGAACTTTTGTGTTTGACTGCTCAATAGTATCCTTTAAATAGTTTTGACAATGACAAACTTTACATCCTTTTGTAGTAAATTTTGTCTAGTTTACTTTGGAGCAATGTTTAATTATTTAAATCAATCATTTTTTAAATTAATGCATTCAATAAACTACGTGACTCATTTTAATTTAATATTGATATTTAAAACAACACAAATCTTAAATTTCCTACTTTTCTACAGGAAATGGGCAATTGTTTACATGAACTTTTTAGTAGATCTTGATCTACCTATCAACCTTTTAAATATTAGTTGTTGTAACATCTCAGGTATATATATATATTTTTTTTGTTTTTCAGTTGGCGCTACAGACCTTGTAGATCTTTGACCGTGAGTTGTGATTTTCTAGACCACGTCCCGATTCCTGATTCAAGTACAGGGGGGGGGAGGTGTCATCAATCCTAGGCCTGGTCAATGTGAGTTGCCTCCAGTAGAATGACGGGCCTCACAAACCTGGAGGGAGGGGGTCTTGGGCAGCGTGGCTTTTCCTGGTGGACGGTCACCCATCCAAGACTTTTTGTGCTAGTCTGCACACACACATACACAACTGATGGTTGACATCCCCATACTGAGTGTGCAGTACAAAAACTTGGAGAATTCCTGGGTATCTGATACCACAGAAAGAGCTACAATTTGGACATGTGGCCGGCATCCTATACAGGAAATGGCACAAGCCCCTTCTAGTCGGTTTGTCAGGGAAAGAATAAAGAGCATGTACCAATAGCTGCTATGCTTCACCGCACATCATGATTGAGGAATTCTCAGATTTCCAAGATCGTATAGTCAAAGACACGGGGAGGAGAAGGCCTGTTGTGATTGCTGGAGACTTCAACGTCTGGGCGACAGAGTGGGGTAGTCAATCGGCCAACCAGCGAGGAGAAACCTTACTATAAGCCTTTGTCCAGTTGTAGGCCTAGTATTGGCAAACACAGGGATGGAGCCTACATTTGTGAAAGGAGACAGGTGTTCAATAATTGATTTGACACTTGACAGTTGACATTTTGAGACCTGTACATCCATAGTGACCACCAGGCTATCCTCACCACCTTTGAAGACTTGGCACCAAGAAGAAGTGATAGGCAAGATAGACATGGGATTCATTGGAAAACTAAGAAGTTTGACAAGGATCCATTCCAAGTCATAATGGAGACATCCTGTGAACTGTCAGGCACAGCAGTAGATAAATCTCACCAGGTACTAGATCTTGTCAGTAAGGCTTATGACATGGCTATGGTTCACACCAATCCAGGGATTGGACAACTACCGGTATGTGGTAGAATGACTTCATTGCTAATGCCATAGACAGTGTCACGCAGTGAGGAAGAAGTATCAGCGAGCTAGAGGTAACCCCTAGTTCCAAGATCTGCAGGAGTACAAACCTAAGAGACGGGACCTTCTCCAGATAATCAAGAAGAGCAAATGGTGATGCTCAATGGAACTATGTGAGGAAGTGGATGAGAACTCATGAAGCCTTACAAAGCCTTTGTGAAGGAGCTAAAGAGAAAAATTGCCCAATCGCCTATGATCCCTGTGGAGTTTTTTAATATAGAAAACTAAACTTTTAGTAATTTATTTTTATCGCCTTTATTTTATTTTTATAAACTGAGAAGCCTCGTTCGGACTCATTACCGCATAGAGGAGTGTCCCACAGGTGGCAGATGTGGGGATGGTCGGTGAAAATTTCTTGGAAGTACTTCTCGGCAAAGTCCGAAGGACTCGCTGACCAACATTGAGAGAGACCCTCCAGACTTGCTGGAGGGTGTGACATAGGATTGAACGGCCTACTCACATATCTTTAGTTTACCATACATTACAAAAAGTCATGGACCTCCTTAAGGTAAAACCGCTCATTGTCCAGAGGTAAACTAGTTCCCCGTTTGGGTCTCTGGAAGGGTACTGCTTTAGGGGATTCATAGCACAAGTTGAAAAACAGGGATTAAGGTATTGGTATATAGAAGTAAGGAGTTTGAATTTAGCAGGTGGGTTAAAATCGGTTATGAACAAGGTTAATGGGTACAATTTGGATATCGTGGCTCTGCAAGATGTTTGCTGGTCAGGGGAAGACTCGATAAGGAAAGGAAAGTACACTATTTGGTAAAGAGGAAGCAGGAATCATTGTTTACGTATGGGGTTCCTAATTAGGAATAGATAGATATCATCTTATAGGACATACATACAATTCTTTAGTGATAGAATTTCGGTAGCCATATTTCAGGGACGTTGATTTAAAATCGAGAGGCTTCGTGAACAGACAAGAGGTGGATACAAAGACAAAAGTGGCTGTGTTTAGGTCAACGTTTCTCACCATTCTGATGTATTCCTCGGATATGGATGCTAACAAAAACGCATCAAACAAGAATACAAACGTCAGATGAGATTTCTCAGAAAAATTGAGGGAAAAACAAGAAGCGACCGAATCAGCAACACTACAATTAGGATGAACCTCAGCATTTAACAAGCCCATGAAGTTATAGAAGAATAGACTAAGATGGCTGGGACATCACCTAAGAATGGAACCTACCAGAATTGCTAGGGAGGTCTATCAAGACAAGGTTGACGGCAAAGAGGAAACTGTTGACCAAGAAATAAATGGGAAGAAGAAGTAAAGAAGGACTTCCTGAAAAGAGAACTCCAATGGAATGAGAGAAGGCATTTGGTGGAAGAGCGGCAGAGCTGGAGAATGAAGCTTTATAAACTTCCTCCTCGCACTACATAGGCGGTACTACAGGAGAGAATATGATGATGAGCAAGTCGTTACAGTTACTGTTATTTAAAAGCTTTGATCAGTATACTTTACCATTAAACTTTATTATTAATGAGCATTCACAATGTATATGTATGTGAGTGTATATATATTGTCTTCATTTACTTGTCTTGTAGGCCGATTTGCTCTGCCTTTCTTATCAGAGTCTTAGTGAGTTTCTTAATTTTCTCTTGATAACTTTCAAGGACAGCTATATCATCTGCTCAGAACGTCCACGCCCTATTTGTTTATTTCAAAACAGCCTATGATTCTGTGGACAGGAACTGTTTTTGGAAAATCATGACTGAGCTGGGAGTTCCCGGTAAGTTGGTCCTAATAAGAGAAGTATCTGAAGCCTTCAAAGTTCAAACGGGCATACGACCGGAAGATGGACTATCACCAATGTTTAAACATTGTTGATATATCCCATGACTTTTATAGGTAGCTAAAAAAATTAAAATAAAATAAAATGTAAATTTTAGGTTTTCTAAATCCAAATAAATTTAGTCGTTATGGTTGTTAGCCTATTGAACTATTCCATTAATCCACTTCGGCGGCAATCAATCAACTATAGCGCACTCACCATAATTGCTATAAATCCTTTTCCTACCTATTTGACTTTTCTGCCAAAAATTTACCCATTAAAACCTAAAGACGCTTATAATCTGCTCTTATATTACGTTCTAGCGAAATGAAGTTTCCTAGGGTTTTGATCCGTTCCGGTGATGGAATTTGTTTCACGAACCGTTAGAAAATGGATGAAGCAGTTATTGAGGTAAAGTAGAGTAAGGAAGGGAACTATGAAGTGTCTGGGTCCGATGAGGATAGCCTAGGAAATATCAGTCTTTGCACTATTTGTTTAGGCTAAAATTCCCATAGAGGTTGATCCATAGAAGATTGATTGACACATTCATTTTCCAATAAGCAGGATATTCTAAATAAAACAATAAGAATCTCAGAAAGAAAAAAAATCCATGTATTTTTATTGACTTATGTATATAATGTATAAATAGTAATTCCTGTTGCCAAGCAGATGACCAATACCCTGCTAAATCAAATACATTCATATTATGAAGACATAATATGCAACAAACAAGATAGATTAAGAAGAGTAAGAAGAATGCTAGACCAGATCTTCATCCTAAACCAGGTGTTCGAAAAACTATAGCAAGTAGCTCGAAAAAATATAGAAAGTAGCTCATGATGTGGTTGCCTATTTCTCAATTTCAAATTGAGTCATAGCCTGGACTCAGAGGACAAAAATTACCTTTGGAAGATCATGATTGAACTAGGAGTTCTAATAAAATTAGGAGATTTACAAAGGCATGTACCCTAAATATTAAGTTTTGGTACAAGCAGAAATATCTGAAGCCTTTAAAGTTCAAAATGGCAGGGGAGTGGGCTCTCACTGATTCTGTTTGATAGAGAAGACAATAAAACAATATATCCTGAAAATGAAGGTATGCCCATTGGTATCCCCATTGATGATGTAGCTGTCCAAAAAAAAAAAATCAAGAGGACGTGTAGAGACTTGCTAAAACTTTGATAAGAGAAGCTGAGCAAATCGACCTACAACTTAATGAAGATAAAACAAAATATAGCATATCAAGACTGGAAAT